CCATCCTCAGTATCAGCCAAGAGGATGGCATCATCTGCATAGCACTCAATCTTGATTTTGTACTGTGTACTGTTTTCCCTGTTCTAATTCTTTTATCCTTACTTTGTCGAACGTTTTGGTTAAATCAACGAAACATCTGATTGTTTTTGATACTCTCAACATTGTGTGATCCGTACATATCATTTTTCATCTCGTTACTAAATTTCGCCATGCATCATTTGTGTAGGCAACTCTTGCAATTAGGAAGACATGAGCAAACAACCCACTCAAATGTATGTGGTGGTAAATGTAGGTGGTATCAGTTCTAAACAGATGAGAGTTGATGAGAGTAGTTTGGTGTTGCTGTGTAAGATGATTTCTAGAAGGAAAGACTGTACGCTTTGGAGATGATATCATGCGCGGCTTAAACCAGGGTGTTGGCGGATTGTTTCGGCATCAGTTTGTATCTGATTTCGCAATCTTTGCGAAACACTATGCTTTTTAAGTGATCCCAAAACAAAAAAAACAAGATATTTGAGGTCGGGCCAATAGACTGCCTCGACCTGTCTATCTTCCGGGAAGCACCTTATCTAGATGTCGCCTCATATATCGGATATCTAGGAAATCAAAAATCTTTTACTACAATTTTTTTCACCAAGAGGAATAAATGTCCAAGTTTATGCATATAGTTTGAGAATCAATCCCGGAATCTCCCTACTCGATTCCAAGACCCATCATTTTGTGTTCTTTCCATCCGCATATTTCTGTTCCATACATTATCGCACTCCTCACCAATCCATCAAATTATTTTCCGCCTGCACAAATCTTCCAAATATTAGTTCCCCCCAGCTTCATATCTGCTACAATAATCTATTTGCCTTTTTAATTCTCTTCTTAATTTGAGACCCAACCTAAATATCTGTTTGAAATGTAAAACCCAAGTAGATGCTATAGAGCTTTGTTTGATGGAGTTGTATTAGATAAAATCTCCTTCAAGTCTATATCAGAACCTTTTCAAGACCATATCGATTCAGTCTTTATACAGGATGATTTATTAGCTAACAATCAAACTTTAAATCAACCAGACATTTTAATTCGCCTGAAAAACTCTTTAATTTGTCGTTGTGAAACATGTATTCTAGCAAAAGGAGGCTATTTTGAACTATATTTATAATATTTATGTCTTTTAAAAAAAATGTAGCAGTTAATTATGATATAAAAAGTAAAATTTTAAAGTGTTATAATTTCCTAAATAATTGAAATAGGTTCATTAACATTTTTTTTGGTAATTGGATTACCTATCATATGTCAAAGTTTGATGGTGAGCCAATCTCCAATGTCTCACCTGAATCTCTTCCACCATCTTGTGTTCTTTCCACCCGCATATTTCTGTTCCATACATTACCACACTCCTCACCAATCCATCAAATCCCCCAGCTCCATATCTGCCACAANTCTCCAACTTCAACTCTTCCCTCACTATACAGGGTGATTCCCAACGCATAAACGTGGGGATTTATTCCTCATGACAAATAATGAGTAATACCAGTATCTTAATGTCCTTTTATAATCCTTGCTCAGTATTAACTTGCTCAATATTCGCTTCCTCAGCTGCAATGTTAAATGCCTGTGTTAACCACTGTATGCCATCCTCAGTATCAGCCAAGAGGATCATCTGCATAGCACTCAATCTTGATTTTGTACTGTGTAATGTTTTCCCTGTTCTAATTCTTTTATCCTTACTTTGTCGAATGTTTTGGTTAGATCAACGAAACATCTGATTGTTTTTGATACTCTCAACATTGTGTGATCCATACATGTCATTCTCCATCTCGTTACTAAATTTCGCCATGCATCATTTGTGTAGGCAACTCTTGCAATCAGGAAGACATGAGCAAACAACCCACTCAAATGTATGTAAACATTTTTTTGCAGAAGATGAAATAAGTATGGTGGTATCAGTTCTAAACAGATTAGAGTTGATGAGAGTAGTTTGGTGTTGCTGTGTAAGATGATTTCTAGAAAGAAAGACTGTACGTTTTGGAGATGATATCATAGCGCGACCTAAACCAGGGTGTTGGCGGATTGTTTCGGCATCAGTTTGTATCTGATTTCGCAATCTTTGCGAAACACTATGCTTTTTAAGTGATCCCAAAACAAAAAAACAAGAGATTTGAGGTCGGGCCAATAGACTGCCTCGACCTGTCTATCTTCCGGGAAGTACCTTATCTAGATGTCGCCGCATATATCGGATATCTAGGAAATCAAAAATCTTTTGCTACAATCTTTTTCACCAAGAGGAATAAATGCCCAAGTTTATGCATATAGTTTGAGAATCACCCTCTATATCCCGGAATCTCCCTACTCAATTCCAAGACCCACCATTTTGTGTTCTTTCCATCCGCATATTTCTGTTCCATACATTATCACACTCCTCACCAATCCATCAAATTATTTTCCGCCTGTACAAATCTTCCAAATATTCGTTTCCCCCAGCTTCATATCTGCCACAATAATCTGTTTGCTTTTTTGATTCTCTTCCTAATTTGAGACCCAACCTAAGTATCTGCTTGAAATGTAAAACCCAAGTAGATGCTATAGAGCTTTGTTTGATGGAGTTGTATTAGATAAAATCTCCTTCAAATCTATATCAGAACCTTTTCAAGACCATATCGATTCAGTCTTTATACAGGATGATTTATTAGCTAACAATCAAACTTTAAATCAACCAGACATTTTAATTCGCCTGAAAAACTCTTTAATTTGTCGTTGTGAAACATGTATTCTAGCAAAAGGAGGCTATTTTGAACTATATTTATAATATTTATGTCTTTTAAAAAAAATGTAGCAGTTAATTATGATATAAGAAGTAAAATTTTAAAGTGTTATAATTTCCTAAATAATTGAAATAGGTTCATTAACATTTTTTTTGGTAATTGGATTACCTATCATATGTCAAAGTTTGATGGTGAGCCAATCTCCAATGTCTCACCTGAATCTCTTCCACCATCTTGTGTTCTTTCCACCCGCATATTTCTGTTCCATACATTACCACACTCCTCACCAATCCATCAAATCCCCCAGCTCCATATCTGCCACAATAATCGATTTGCCTTTTTAATCTCTTCCTAATTTGAGACCCAACCTCAGTATCCGCTCGAAATGTAAAACCTAAGTAGATGTTATAGAGCTTTGTTTGATGGAGGTGGATCAAAGCTGTATTAGATAAAATCTCCTTCAAGTCTATATGAAAACTTTCTTAAGACCATGTCAATTGTCTTATTCAGTCTTTATATATCAAATTTGCATCAAGACACCTTGAGGCGTACATCAAATCTCCAATCTGTTAAATTGATAGGTACATGTTAAGTCTGTATCATCAGATCTTCATTAATATTGCGTTTGGGCATTGTGAAGATTGCATCCAGTTTCTATTGAATTTACAGCAAGTATACATCAAGATTACATCTAGTTTTGCTCAAGTATATATCAAGGCTTATTTAATACTGTATCAAGATTTTGTCCCAAATTCATGAAATCTATTCCAAAATACCTTCAAGCATCAAGTCAAGTTGCTTCTATTTGCTGTCAATTTTACATCAAGGTTTCGTCGGTAAAGATTATATTAAGTCTTTGCCAAATCTGTTTCAAGTCTAAGTCAAGCCTGCATTATACTTGTTAACTTGATTGGTCCATTAAGTCTACATCAAGCTTGCATTAAAACTGCACCTAGTCTTTGCCAAACCTCCATCAAGACACATTCAAGCCTAAGTCAAGCCTCCACTATACTTGTTAACTTGATTGGTCCATTAAGTCTACATCAAGCTTGTATTAAAACTGCACCCAGTCTTCAGTGATGTCAAATATCACCTAGAATTTTTTAAACTTAAGGATCTAATGATTTGTGATGATTTCGTGTTGAAAACACCATTTTAAAATTCAAGTCTGCATCAAATCAAGTTGCATCTATGTTCTGTCAATTTTACACCAAGGTTTTGGTAAAAACTGCATTAAGTCTTTGCCAAGTCTGCATCATGTCTAAGTCAAGCCTGCATTATACTTGCTAACTTAGTTAGTCCATTAAATCTACATCAAGCTTGCATTAAAACTGCACCTAGTTTTTGCCAAATCTTCATCAAGACACATTCAAGCCTAAGTCAAGCCTCCACTATACTTGTTAACTTGATTCGTCCGTTAAGTCTTCATCAAGCTTGCATTAAAACTGCACCTAGTCTTCAGTGATCTCAAATATCACCTAGAATTTTTTAATGATTTGTGATGATTTCGTGTTGAAAACACCATTTTAAAATTTTTGTAACCGCCTACTTGTTTACAATTTCGGTTTTACACCATCTTCGGGAGCAAGATTTTAAAAACGTCAAAAAAATGTCATAATAAATTCACGAAGCGCTTAAAAAGAGCTTGAAATCATCGTCGTACATTAAGTACTGCAAATAATTAATAATTATAAAACTATTGTTTAAAAGGTTATGATGGAAGCTTTAAGCAGAGCTTATCTTTTTCTTGATGACGAAGTGTTTTATAAATTATTGTTTTAGTATTATCATTCTAAAAACAAAATTGCTCACCCAATAAACTAATAATAACAGTTTAATAAACATAGTTCCATTGGGAGTGGATGGTTAGTACATAATTAACTCTCCGAATACCAATGAAAACCTGTTTAATAATAAACGAATGCGTCGAAATTAATGTTTAGATATTGCAGCATTATTGATTGAAAACTGCGTAACGTACCGAGCTTAACATTAATCCAGTTTCATTTTAACTATTCTAATATTATTCATAATTTTGTGTTATTGTCAAGAATAAACTTGAATAGATTTCATCAAGGGAAGAAGGAAAGACTCGGAGAATTTAATTTCGTTTCGCAATATAAATGCTTTGCATATTTTATGTTTTAAAAAGTGAAATATTCAAATAAGAAAATGAAAGGTTTATGTGATCTTGGTGTTAAAACACGACGATCTTTATTAATTTTGATTTTTTTACCATTTAAGTTACTGCCCCAACTTAAACGTAAAACTGTATTAATAAGAAATGCTGTGTTATAAAACAATATAATAACAATTTGTGGATATTATATAATCAACGAATCAATGTGCATCGAAAACTACTCAAAATGGATTCTTTAGAGCGTTTAATGAGTGCTGCCAAGCCGTTACCTCCGGCATTGGCGGGAAATTCTTTACCTAGACGAGCTTTGGTTCATGCTAGTATTGCAACGACTGCGGCTGTTGGACGAAGAGGGCGTCATCTAACTGGGACATTCTGCTTGACAGGTGATACCATGGAAGGCATCATTCAATGCTTGGTGTTCCTCAAAGCGTTCTCGGTAAGTTTATATTAACTAGTTCGAGTCAGCATAATTGACTAAAGCGTAACTGGATCGGTTATAACGTTGAAATAGAAGGAGAGGGTATGGCTTTGATGCTGCCGCATCAAAAAGTTCGCTAACAAGGGAAGTTCGAAGTCGTCGGAAGTTTTAATGCACACGCTCAAATGTGTGGCGAAACTGTCTCTATCGACAACGTTACATTTGTAGTTTAAAAGTCTGTTCTATCATATTCTAAAACGTTTATTTTTTAATACATGAAACTTTTTATAAAAAGAAATGGCCCACTTGAAAAATCTCAACTTGGATATTCGAGCTTTTTCAAAGGATAATAAAAAGGGAAAATATAACGGGATATAAATCCAGGCGGAGATCGAATTCCTGGACCAGAAGAGGTTTTGTTGTTTCGGCATTTTCGGTGACCCTTGGAATCAATAGGAAGGAGGGTTACAGAGAACACGTTTTGGCTGATACAGTGTAGCGTAAAAGCGTGACCTGACTACGAACCGAAAAGAAATGCACTTTTTGATAGAGAGCCAAAAACGTAAAAAGGTTTTATTTTTTTTACCACTCAATAAGAGACTATTGAGATATCAATGAGTATTTCCTCGGATACTGCAAATATTTGCATCCAATTATCGTTGCGTTTCCACCAACGATTTATTAAAACGAAAAAATCGAGACTTTACTTTCAAAGTAAAATGTGGAAATATATCATACTCTCGTTAAGAATCTCATGATAAATGGAGAGCTATATTTCACCAATTAACCCGGACATATCTTCTAACTTACTCGAAACAAAATCGATTTTATAATAAATCATTTCTATTATATTTGATAAACCTTATTTTTTTTTGAACTCAACTTTAAGCAAGATGAATTTATTTTCTAATTAAAAGTTTTAATTTTTTTATCGAAAGGAATTGGCAATTTGAGGAGAGTATTTTTCAACGGAAATAAGGTCACATTCATTTGCATGAATACCGGCGACTGCTGTAGCAGCTGAGGTTATAAATCGTCTTGGGAGTAAAATTCGGAAACAAGAAGGCTTTTTCCTAATTGGCTTCAGAGCTGAATACATTAGTCTTTAACAGATTTTCACTCCGAACCTAAAAGAACCAAAGAGATTTTGTCGACAATGTTTGATTTGGATTTGTTGAAAACTAGATTTGTGGTTCTTAAACTTTTTTCAGATGCGGTGCCTAAATAAAAGGAATAATGGAATAATTTCAAAGTCAGAAGTGTCAACCACCACACATACATTTTATATGAGTTCTGACAGAACTCCAGTCTCGGCAGAATCCGTGAAGTACGGAGTACAAAGCCAAGCATCCTCTATGTGTAGCATAAACGATAGTCTGCTATCAAAAGTTACTCTTAAATCTCTGACAGAAATCAACTTAAGCAGAGAGATTTCACCTATACAGTAGAATGATAGCATTATACTTCTCCACATTAATCCTGAACTGATTACGATCATACCATTCTACCTAGGTGCATCCGACTGCATCGCAGCCACGTCATCATGAGGTCATAGGACGAAATATCTTAAGATCATCACCATAGGGCAAAACACCAGACTTAAATCTGTTTAATAAGTCGTTAATAAATATTACAAATAGTAGTGAACCCAAGTTAGAGACCTGCGAGACACCAGATCGTGATATAACTGGCCCAGCGGAAAAACCAAACATACTGAGCTTCTCTAGGAAAAGATCGCGATGAATCGCATCAAACGCCTTAGAAAAGTCAGTGTGCACTACATCCACTTGACCACCCTATCCAGGGATTCACATGCTTAATAAACTCATGCTGGTGCAAACGATTGAACTTGCGAATAAATAGCTCCATAACTGATTTGCTCAAATACTTTAGTGAAGTTAGATATTATGGAGATGGGACGATAATCAGTAATGCTGTTAAAATCACCAGGCTTGAAAATTATCCGTGATAGCTTCCAGATCTTAGGAAACTCACCTGTATTTAGGCACAAGTTCATAATCACGCAAAGTGATAATCTTTAAAATGATAGATCCACCAAAAACTCTCGAAAAGTAATCGACAAAAGCATTAACTATATTATAGGGAGTCCAAATCCATTACACCAGGGAGTTGTGTATTCATAGTTCTATGCTTTATACAAGTCCAGAAGCTACGAGGATCAGAGCGCAGTGACTGCTCAACATTACTTGTAAAGGTTATATACGAATCAGAGATCTTTTGCTTAGTCAGGTATCTCAATCTTCTAAACTCCGCATAATAAAAATCACATTTACTTCTCTTCCACTTTCTTCTATAGAAGTCTTTTAACTTTAAAAGATCTCAAACTGATCCAATAGCTCATTTTTGAAAGGTCCAATTTGTTTCGAGAAAATCACCATCAAGCCTTGAAAATTAGTTCTGCGAATATCATAACGACTGCCACAAGCTGAAAAAATTGATCGATTATTACTTGGCGCTAGTAAGTTTATGGTAATATTTAAGGCGGGATGATACAAATCTGCAATGTTTGACTCAATGACAAAATGTGTCTAAATGCATAGAGATTCAGATTAAAAATGAGTTTCCAGAAAGATTTAAGTATCTTAATCGCATAAAAATTCATGTTCAACTTTTGTCAGTTTGCAGAAAGGGTTCAAAACTTTTTGGAAGCAATTTTAAGGGCTATTAATTTGTCTAAATGCGTAGAGATTCAGTTTTCAATATGAAATCAGTTTGCAGAAAGATTCAATTGCGCTATAGCCCAAACCGAACCTTGGTCTCCTCAATGCTTCGCCTTCAATCATCCAGCTTCCGAGAATCTTCTGATCATTCCTGGTCACGTTATCTCCCCATCTTATTCTTGGTCTACCAAACTTGCGTCTTCTTTCTTGATTATGGTTGTCTCAAAAACGCTTTCTTTGCGGCACGTGTCTCTGGCAAGCGTTTTTGGGGTAAAATTCGGAAACAAGAAGGCTTTTTCCTAATTGGCTTCAGAGCTGAATACATTACTCCTTAACAGATTTACACTCCGAATCTAAAAGAACAAAAGAGATTTTGTCGACAACGTTTGATTTGGATTTGTTGAAAGCTATATTTGTGGTTCTTAAACTTTTTCTAGTTGCGGTGCTTAAATAAAAGGAATAACGGAATCAATACACACATACAAAGCGATGAGAGGTAGAATAGATACATGAAGCGATCATCACGTTAATATCATCACATTTTATATGATTTTACAGAAAAATGCAATGTTTGATTTAATGTTAGAAGGTAGGTCAAGTGTCTAAATGCATAAAGATTCAGATTAAAAATGATTTTTCAGAAAGATTCAAGTATCTTTATCATACGGATTGTATTTTCAATTTGAAAATAAAATTTGCAGAAAGATCCAATATCTCATAGCAATGAAATGTTCCTCAATTGCGCTACAACCCAAACCGAACCTTGGTCTCCTCAATGCTTGGCCTTCAACCGTCCCGGTTTCTCTTCTAGCTTCATATCCCGAGAATCTTCTAATCATTCCTGGTCACATTATCTCCCCATCTTGTTCTTGGTCTACCAAACTTGCATCTTCTATCTTGATTCTGGTTGTTTCAAAAACGCTTTCTTTGCGGCACATGTCTCTGGCATGCGTAGTAATCGTCTTGGGAGTAAAATTGGGAAACACAGTCCTTAACAGATTTTCATTCCGAATCTAAAAGAACAGTTGCGGTGCCTAAATAATAGGAGTAACGGGGTCTTATTGTACACAACATACAGCTCTGGGCAACACTACATCTCAAAGGCAGAAGAGTCAACACACACATACAAAGCAATGGGAGAGGTAGAATACTAATCAAGCGAATTTTATATGAGTTTACAGAAAGATGTAATGTTTGATGTAATGTTAGAAGGTGGATTAAATGTCTAAATGCTAAAAGATTCAGATTTCAGATTGAAAATGAGTTTCCAGAAATACTCAAGTATCTTAATCCCATTCATATTCAACTTTGATGTCAGTTTCCAAAAGAATTAAATTATGTTGGCAGAAGGATTCAAGTGGTATTTGGCAAAAACTTTTTTGATGTAATTTTAAGGGCTAATAATTTGTCTAAATGCATAGAGATTCAATTTTCAGTATGAAATCAGTTTGCAGAAAGATTCAAGTATCTCGTATCAATGACACTACAGCCCAAAGCGAACCTTGGTCTCCTCAATGCTTCGCCTTCAATCGTCCAGCTTGTTCCTCCCCATCTTGTTCTTGGTCTACCAAACATTCGTCTTCTTTCTTGATTCTGGTTGTCTCAGAAACACATTCTTTGCGGTACTAATTACATTAATTTACATTCTTTTATAATCTCAAACAAAAGTTATTAAAAGATAGATTTAAATGTACAAATAAACGCAAAAAAGGATTAAATATTAAACTTAATTGTTACTAGAGTACAAAATGTCGCCTTTTGACGTCACGATTATTAAATTTGTCCGGATTTGGAGCAAACTAATCACGAACAGCGTTCAAGACCGAGTGGCGCTTTCTGTCTTGATATCCAGACATAATTCTCAGCATAAACTTTGAACAATTCAATTTCCGTCGCGGATCGCATTGCGGGCGAACCCAAGGGCAAACTTTCTTTACTATTATTATGATGCAACGAGCTCTAGCCGTTTGTCTAGCGGGGAAACCCCGAAGCGCTGTAATCGCATTGTTCGCTCTTGGGAATCCGAAATAATGTTCGAATTCGACACTAAAACTTCATTCTTTGTTATTGATAATCATTGAATTTCGTGTTGATGTTGACAAGGGTATAATATATATATTAAAAGGGTTAATTAGATCACAACCCCCGTAAATAGGCGAGACTGATTATATTTGCTAATATGACGAAGATCTATACACGTAACCCCTGGGGTTACCCCATTCACCTGAATTCCCGCAGTTGGAGGCCATTGTGATTTATGAATTTGCTTCATTTATCCAATTTTCCGCTTCATTATCTTCGACCCTGCCGACGCCGCCGATCGAAGCTCGGTCCGGG